CAAGACTCGCCGTTTCTCACAGCCGTGACATCTCGGAATGATCAAAGACGAAATAAAAAAACTCCAGTCCTTATTGACTATTTGTAGTCAAAAAATGTGACTATTACAGTATGTATGCGTTTGTGTACTGGGGGCATTTCTGATGGTTAGGGTTTGTATTTTGCCTTTATTGTGCACGCACTGATCCTTCGGGGGTCTGTGTGAATGGATCCCGGGCTGTAAATAATTAATAGCACACGTTCAAGTGGTGTGACTTCCTCTCACACTGACAGATTCTGTCTGTAATGTATAGACTCTCTCTGAACCATTGCCTATAGGGACTTTGTGGAGTAAGAAAGATTGCATCAGCTTGCCCTATTATATGAGACACTATCTTCTGCCAGAGAGTGCAATTCAATGATGATGCTCATTAAAATTGGCAAAGTTTAACAGTTACTGGTCACATTCATTTACAAAATTCGCTTTCATTAATCCAACAACTAAGCTGCTTTAATATGTAGTGCATATTTTTACATCCTTAAATACTAGTACATATTTTTTAGATGTATTATTACATACAAGGACTTAAAGGGATAGTTCGCTCAAAACTGAAAATTCTGTTATCATTTACTCACCCAGTACTTGTTCCAATCCTGTTCTTTCTTTCATTTGTTGAACACTAAAGAAGACATTTTGAAAAAAAGCTGTAAATCTGTAACCATTATACTTTTTAAGTCAATTATCACAGGTTTTCAGCGCACTTCATTGTAGCTTCTTTAGTATCTAACAGAATAAAGAAACATATAAAGTAATCACTAAAGGGTGAGAAAAGAGTGGGTAAATTTTCATTTTTGGGTGAACTATCACTTTAATCATTAAATATCTGTGTTTATTTGTTAGATACGTGTTGCTTATAAATAGATCATAGCTTAGTCAGGGTTGCTTTTACTCATCTTGTCATAGTCAGAATAGACACCATACACCATAGAGTTCAATTAAAATCTTTCTAAGAAAAATAATAGGTCTTACTAAAACATTTCTAATAGGTACTAGTATTTAAAAAAAAAAAAAAATAATAATAATAATTTTCCCAGTGATGGGTTGCAGCTGAAAGGGCATCTGCTGCGTAAAACATATGCTGGATAAGTTGGCGGTTCATTCCACTGTAGTGAGCCTAGATTAGTAAAGGGACTAAGCCGAAAAGAAAATGAATGAATGAATGAATAATAATAATAATAATAATAATAAATAAATAAATACATACATACAATAATATCTGCTGAATAAGTAGTAGTAGCTAACCGATAATTACCTGTATCTAGCTATAAGTATTAGTATGTTTTTATTGTTTTGAGTGTTAAATGAGTGACTAATATGTAATGAAAAAATGCTATCTACATAGCATGAATATAACACATACTAACACTAGTATGTAATGATTAAGTACTAGCATGTACTGTAATAATAGGCACTAGTGTCAATAATATAAGTGATACTCTACTACCTAATGAATAATTACTGGTATAAAAAATATGTATTGTCCCAACTAGAATAGTTGACATCCTAATTATGACTCCTAAAAATGTTAAATTAATTACTAGTATCAATATAGAATAGTTACGAGTCACTACTAAAATAAACAGAATTATCTAATGAATGTGTAAGAATAACTTCTGTTTAAAGTACATGATATAGGAACCCATCACTGGGAAACCCATGCACACTCATTCGCACACATACATACACTATGGACAATTTAGCCTACCCAATTCATGTCTTTGGACTGTGGGGGAAACCGGAGCACCCAGAGGAAACCCACAGAAACGCAGGGAGAACATGCAAACTCCACATAGAAAAGCCAACTGACCCAACCGAGGTTCGAATCAGCGACCTTTTTGTTGTGAAGCGACAGCACTACCTACTGCGCCACTGTGTCGCCTGTGTCTGATTAAAACGTCAGTAAATGTAGTTTAGTGTTTTGTGTTATTTTAAAGATTATAAGGACAAAATATATGTGCATGGCAAATTATTTATATTGGATACTGTAATATTTACAATAAACAACAAATGTTCATTTTCAACTTCATGGTGACACTAATAGAAGTCAGAGTGGCAGATTTGCTCAGTGTGCTTACATACTGCATGCTCTACAGAGAGCATTAGAGACAGCTATTAGAGAGCTGCGCATCACACCCAAAACCAATGAATGGAACACTCACTTATTCAGCCAATATGTGTGCATGCATGCATGAATACATGAATACATGTATGTGCATGTGCAAAAATGTATGTGTGCGATTTCTTGCTGTTGCAGAAAGAAAGAATTCCCCGCTGCCCTCAAGGGCAAACACAGCAAAGGCAGAAAGTAGAAAAATGCCTGAGGGAGAAAGAGAGAGAATGAGAGTGAGGGAGTTGGGGCAAAAACTGTGAAGGAGAAAGAAAATTGAAGATGAACTTGAGGGATGGGGTACAGATGGCGGCAAATGGCTTAGAAAAACAAAACAAACAGAGGGAGAAGGGAGAAAATGGAGAACTGTGATTTTGCGAGGATAAATGACTGTTAATGAAATGGAACACTGGGGAAAGGAAGAAAATATGCAAAGCGCGGGGACTGAAAATGAGTTCTTTTGTGAAACCAGTTTTGCATCAGGACACCGAATTTACGGCGACCCAACACATTAAGAAATAGAAAATATAATGTATAATAGAGATGCTAATATTGCACACATTGCTCACGGTTTGGCTCCTGCCATGGTTTCAGTATGGTTCGGTATACACTCACCGGCCACTTTATTAGGTACACCTTACTAGTACCGGGTTGGACCCCCTTTTGCCTTCAGAACTGCCTTAATTGTTTGTGGCACAGATTCAACAGGGCACAAGAAATATTCCTCAGAGATTTTGGTCCAAATTGACATGATAGCAACACGTAGTTGCTGCAGATTTGTTGGCTGCACATCCATGATGTGAATCTTCCATTCCCCACCACATCCCAAAGCTGCTCTATTGGATTGAGATCTAGTGAGGCGCTTTATGACATGGCGCGTCATCCTGCTGGAAGTAACCATCAGAAGATGGGTACACTGTGGTCATAAAGAGATGGACATGGTCAGCACTCAGGTAACACAATGCTTTTAGTACTAATAGGCCCAAAGTGTGCCAAAAAATATCCCCACACCATTACACTACCACCACCAGCCTGAATCATTCATACAAGGCAAGATAAATCCATGCTTTCATGTTGCTGATGTCAAATTCTGACCCTACCATCCGAATGTTGCAGCAGAAATCGTGACTCATGAGACCAGCAAACATTTTTCCAATCTGCTATTGTCCAATTTTGCTGAGCCTGTGCAAATTGTAGCCTCAGTTTTCTGTTCTTAGCTGACAGGAGTGGCACCCGATGTGGTCTTCTGCTGATGTAGCCCATCCGCCTCTAGGTTTGACATGTTGTGCGTTCAGAGATTCTCTTCTGCATATCTCAGTTGTAACTGATGGTTATTTGAGTTACTGTTTCCTTTCTATCAGCTGGAACCAGTCAGGCCATTCTCCTCTAACCTCTGACATCAACAAGGCATTTGTGCCCACAGAACTGCCGCTCACTAAATATTTTTTTCTGACCATTCTTTGTAAACCCTAGAAATGGTTGTGCATGAAAATCCCTGTAGATTAGCAGTTTCTGAAATACTCAGACCAGCCCATCTTGCTCCAACAATCATGCCACGTTCAAAGTCACTTAAATCCCCTTTCTTCCCCATTCTAATGCTTGGTTTGAAGATTGTCTTGATCATTTCTACATGCCTAAATACATTAAGTTGCTGCCATGTGATTGACTGATTGGAAATTTGCATTAACAAGCAGTTGGACCGGTGTACCTAATAAAGTGACGGGTGGGTGTATACTGTATATTAAGCTCATTAAACAAAATAGTACAATATAGCAAAGACACAAATAAAATGAACATTGCTTTTCAGGTTTTTCAAGTATCTAACAGTTTTCAGGTATAGAAACTGATTAATATAATCAATGATGTACTTAATACTCACCGAAGCAGCATTTTAAAAAAAACAGTAATCCTGTGAAATATTAAAATGACACTTTTCAGCTTATATTTTTAAACATATATTTTAAAATGTAATTTATTCATGTGAATCAAATAATAAATTTTTAGCAGTCATTACTCCAGCAGTCATTATTGCCTTCAGAAATACTTTTTAATATGCTGATTTGGTGCTCATTGTTATGTTGAAAACGTAACGTTTATTTTCCAGTATTTTTAAGGAACACAGTTAAAAGAACAGCTTTTATTCAAAATGAAAGAATTTATTGTAGTCTTGCTGATTAAAAGTATTTATTTTTAATGCATATTTGACACCCAACACCATGGAGTGTAAATATTTGCAATGCTTTTTATAGTGTCACAGTAAACAGCATAATTTTTGTAGGTCACAGATGCACTAAACTCAGTCTCATCAGCCCTCATGAACTCTCACTGGCTCTAAATATGGATGATTTGTGGGAATTATCTTTGCTGGATGATTTCATATAAGCATAATTATTTATGCAATCATATGAAAGTCTGGGCTGAAGGTCAAGCGAGTGTTATTGTGACTCGCGTCACTAGAGCAGCCATTGTAACGAATGCTAATCGTTCTAGAACGGTCTTCATTTATGTGTGGAATCTGTTTTGCGGCCAATCAGACGAAAACATCCATCTTAATCAGTGCCGATGCATGAGATGGAAAATAGTTATTATTATTCTGCTTTTAAAGTTTATTTCCCAGAGGTTGTGGGAGGGGGGAGAGCTGTTTATCTGTTTCTTTTTTATTACAGAGGCTGGTTTTGAATTAGTCGTGCTATAAAAAGTCCTGCATTCATGCACAGTAGGACTCCGGAAGGACGGACATAATTCTGTCACATTCTTAGATTTGTTTTTCTATCCTACTTCTCGCTGAAATGCATATTTAAATTAGCCTCCCTGTCGCTCTCTTTGTACCATGCTCTATTTCTTTCTCTTTCAGTTACGTTCAGGTGAATCTTACTCCGTTTACCACACCAGCCCCACCTTGCCGTGTCTCTCCAGGCCAGTGGTTTTGTGGTCTCAGCAGGACGTGTGCAGATGGCTAAAGAAACACTGTCCGCACAACTACTTGACCTACGTGGAAGCCTTCTCCCACCACGCCATTACAGGTGTGCAATTCAATGTAAAACACACAATGAAACAAAATAAAATGTACTTAATAGCATTTTTCTTTATATTTAAGCCATTATTCATAGGATACTGCATATTCATATAATAATACATTATATAAACTGCACTTCAGACATGATTTCATTTTTCAGTGCTTTGTTTTAAACTCAAAGGATGGTTCACCCAAAGAATGAAAATTTGTTGTTAATTTACGAATTTATGATTGTAAAATCATATTCTTTTTAGTGTGGAGTTTGCATGTTCTCCCTGTGTTCGCTTGGGTTTCCTCTGGGTGCTCCGGTTTCCCCCACAGTCCAAAGACATGTGCTATAGATAAATTGAATAAACTAAATTGGCCGAAGGGTATGTGTGTGAATGCAAAAGTGTATGGGTGTTTCCTAGTGCTGGGTTGCAGCTGGAAGGGCCTCTGCTGCATATAATATGTGCTGAATAAGTTGACCGTTCATTCCGCTTTGGCGACCCCTGATTAAGAAAGGGACTAAGCCAAAGAAAAATTAATAAATCATAGTCCCTTGTGATTTATAAGATGCAAGTCAATGACATTGAGTAAAACAAACATAAACAGGCAAAACAAACTTAATACCCATGATTCTTGATGATACATTGTGTTCTTATAAAGAAAAATGATCTGTCTGGGAAGGAAGTTTGAGATTTTTCACAACACTATGATATCCATAGCCTTGGCAAAATATTATGTATTGTAAAATGTACTGGTAAGATTAGTATTACTTTTGTTTAGTCTGTATACTGTTTAACTGTGAGACCACAGTTTCAGCCAAAAAAAAAAGTTGTTTAACGCTGTACTAAGTAATCAAAAGTAATCTACACATCTTAAATCTTTTTGGGTGAATTAACTCTTTAATTCAAAACATGATATTATTATGATATGTTCTTGCTTTTTGTAAAATTGATCAAGATACAGTTTTATTAATTTTATAAACAGTTAATAAAATAATTAGGTTTATTATTGGTTGAGGATTGAGGAAAAAAGGTCTAATTGTATGTCTGTGAATTATTCTTGTACAAAAATATAAAAAATAAAATTAAAGTCACTATTGTCATAATCACCAGCGATCCCTTACAGATCGCTGGTAAACACGCACCTTCACCGGGACTACAATTCTGTCACTTTTATGAACAACATTTCCCATCATGCAACTCACACACCTGTTCCAGTTCTCCAATGATTGCAGCTAGAAGCTGATCAAGGACTTATTACACAGACTTATGCACACCTTTTGCATTACCTGTATTTACCCATTTGATCCTGTGTTTGACTGTTGCCTGTGTGACCGTTCTCTATTTAGTGAACTGCACATGGATTCCTAAATCTTATGTCCAGCTTCTTACCGTTACAACTGTAAAAGGGTAGTTCATTCAAAGATGATCACCCAATCATTTTTTTCTTTCTTTTATTTAATTATTTAATCACTTTTCATTTAATTAAATTTTCTCTGTTGAACACACAGAATAAGATATTATGAAAGATGTTGGAAACCTGTACCCAATAACTTCCATAATCATGTAACTGGACATAAAGTAGTACTACTAAGTACTGTCTTGCTATTTTGCTTCTCATGAAATTACGTCTTGATTTAAGTATGTTTGGTTATTTATACTAGAAAACAAAAAAGTACTGTGGTACAAACTTATTTTTTGCAGTGGTCACTGTAAAGGTTTTAGGATTGTACGTCACTTGCACAAAAAATTTTTAAAGGCACTGCATGCTCAGCAGTTCAACCAATCCCTGGACACCAACACATCTACTGAATGTCATGTGGTCTGACAGAGGCATTATCCTTTCAGCCGAAGGTCAGCCAACTTGTGCTCATCTACTCTCCCAAAAATGCCTATTGTCAAAGAACTGGTACTTTTTCATTTTACAGATCACAATCCTTTATTTCTTCCTGCCTCGTTTTCAATATATTACAATGATCTTTATGTTCTAGCCTTTGCGGAAGACACTTTAAAAAATGATAATGAGTTTAGAAATCTTACAGTGCTCAGCAGATATAAGTACACCCCTCACAAATCTATCTTTTAAATTTATATATTTAATAGGAAGCTGTACAATATTATATATGTGCATATACATTAGATTAGTCTGTACTGATGCCAAATCTTGAGCTTATCAAACAAAATCACTTACGATGACAGTCCAAAAACTGGTACACCCAAATTGAAATGTTATAGAAAAATATTAAATACAAGTTTTAAAAAGAGGAAAAATCAAAAGAAAGAAATTTTGTAGGTTGTAATTTATTTTTGCGATATTTAGCTGAATTTAATTGTATTAACTTTCTAAATATGTTTGGTGACTAAAATATTATTTTAATAAATATATCTGTTTAATAAATCTGTTTTGTTTAAATGCACCAAAATACATTGCCTATGTTCACAGAGAAATGTATACAAATTCTTTTTCAAAATAGGCTGTACTCAATTATGCTAAACCCTGTATGGATTCTCAGTTTGTTTTTAAGTCATTTATTTGAGTAATATACTGTACATGCCATTTAGTTTTCTTTTTAACCAAGAAAATGAATATGAATCATTTCAAAACCTTCACTAGCTTCTTGTCTGAACTGTGAACGATAAAAACAATATTTAACTTTCAAGCTTTTGAACACTTCTAAAAAAGAATTTGGCCACTGGTAATATAGTATCTTCTGTCACGTAGTGTAAGAATATTAAAGATGTTTGTAGTACCGTTTAACCATAGAATACAGTTCTTTACATTGTGATAAAAATGTTACAAATAAGACTTTTTAAAGTTCTATTCATCAAATAATAATGATCTAATTATCAATTTTTAAATGGTAGTTTTTCATCATTTTTATTAAATTGATTATCATGTATTATCATGTCCAATAAAATATAGATTTTTTGTAATATGAAATGTAATGGAGTGTATGCACAGCTAGTATTTTTCAGCCAATGGTAAACTTCTGATGAAATGTACATATAACCCATTTTATTAAATGTATATATTTCACTAACAATATTAAGCAACTGAACTGTTTCCAGCTTTGATCATAATAATACAAAGATATTTATTTAAGAAAAACATTGTAGATTTATTATGGATCATATGTCACCGAAGTCTGGAAAAGTATCACAGAAATACATGACATTTCAAAATTAATAAAAGTTATAATAATATCCCAGATTCAATGCAACCCATTGCTTTTTGTCATGCAGGGGTGCGTTTCCCAAACAAAGTAACGGGGCGGAGGAACTACTTCTTTAGAGAAGAACCCCATCAAAAAAAACTATCTTGAAAAAATGGCTAGAACCATCTGCTCCTCTATTCTGGAGGCTCTATCTACTGGACATTATTGGTTTAGAATACACCACAGCCAAAATAAATGGTGCCAGTAAAAGAAAACTGTACAATTTTGGTTAAATATGAGACTGTATCAGATATGTTTCACTCCTGATTTTGTACATATTATTACAGTATTACTGTTTTTATTTAATTTTACTTTTTGTTGTTGGGTGGATCTCAGGCTTTGTTCAAAATCAAGTGTTCAATAAAAAAAAGAATAAAAAAAAGTTGTAATAATATGTCAAAATAATACTGCTTTGCTGTGTTTTGGATAAAAACTGACTGACCACAGAGTTTGTATGTAGAGTTTTTTTTTTTTCTTGGCCATCAGTGGGGGGATACTTTCTGCCAAACGGAATAGTTTCACCATCTACTAGAAACAGCAAATGTGTCCTTGCAAACCAACCAAACCTTGACCCCTTGACCACAACAAGGTGACTGCTCTTTTCCTACATCAGTAAAAAACATTTTATTTCCTAAAGTTAGGACTCACTGGCCATACTGACATCCTTCATCATTATTTCACCATGTTTTCCTACAGTTTGAAGAGTTGTATTGTGAATATATGGCTCATATCTGAGTGTGTCAAAGTGCTCCACTCAAACACTGGTGTTCGATGCGCTTTCTCTCCCACTCACTCCTTTAAAACCCTTTCCCTCACTAGGGACCCGTGCGACTCCTCGGCCCCCACAATCCTTATCTACTGGACACAAAGCGTCCAGATCACAGACATGCTGGGTGAGATCCAGAGAAAAGGATATCCAGAGAAAAGGAAAAAACATAAGGACAAAAGGCCGACGCAGAGTTTTTTTTCTGCAAGGCTGTGGACTAAAGTGTTTAGAGTCGCAGCACGAGAGGCTCAGTTGGATACAAAGCGGGAAATGAACCCGGGGCGTCCCAAGCCCTCAGGCAGGCATTTCAACACCGCATGTTTCCATATAGCCTCACATGCAAAGATCACTGAGAGCATGGAGATAATAACCCAGGGCGGATTTGCGAATGCTGTAACTTGTTTGTTGCTGCCAACAAAACAGTGCATACATAATGCAGAGGATCCGGAGCTTTTTGTGTTTCCGATGAGCTCCTGCCTACTGAAATTGCCTCTCTTCTGTCACTTTGTCAGGTCGCGCTCTCTTGAGATTGAATGGTGAGAAGTTGGAGCGGATGGGCTTGGTTCAGGAGACTCTGAGACAAGAGCTTCTCCAGCAGGTTCTGCAACTGCAAGTACAAGAGGAAGGGCGCAACTTACAGCTGCTAAGCAGAGGTGTGTGTGTGTGTGTACTTTTGAATTTTTTTAATTTTCTACCCATAGCAATACCAATCAGTTTTGACTTTGTGAGGACAAAGCATACTTCCTTGTGGGGAAGTTTTTGAAAAATGTAAATGTGCAGAATATTTCCTGTTAGGGTTGGATTTATTTTACAGTATAAAAATCATTGTCTGTGATTTTAAAGATAAAGATAAATCTTTATAAATCCCGTAAAGCTATTTGTGCAAGTGTTTGTGTGAGAATAAAGAGCATAAATGATGAAGTAAGACTAAAGCAGGTGCCATGACCAGAAGCGATAATGCTAGAATAGTGAAAAATGAATGTGGTGAGATTTGGTGCCTGGTTATCTCTTCCAATATCAGTGCTATTTAATACTGTAATGTAGTTGAATTTGATTTTTTGATATCTGGGTCCATCAAATATCTTCCTCTTCCAACGTAATATCAGTTATATATGCCCATAAATATATATCCAGTTGCGCTGTGTGTGATAAGTGAAGTTTACTTATAAATAATTTTGAAAGGGGCACGTGCTTATGATTGATCACAGCTGGTCCTGCATTAACTAATGCATGATTCACCAATCAGATGATTCTTAACTCACTATAAATAACCAAAGTTTCTTACTTAAGTTATCTTCGCCTTGAAGAATCCTCCCTTCTACCCCTACTCCTACACCTTTCCCTTTATAGCACAGTGGTCCAGTGGTAAGCACTTTTGCTCCACAGCAAGAACTTCACTGGTTCAATTCCTTAACAGGCCAGTTGTTGTTTCTGTGCAGAGTATACATGTTCTCCGCATGCTCGCGTGGGTTTTCCCCAGGTTCTCCAGTTTCCTCCCACAGTCCAAAAACATGCATCATAAGTGAATTGATCAATCTAAATTAGCACTATAGTTGAGCTTTTGACTAGCAGTATATCTCTATATAGCAATTTATAATCTGTCATCAGCTCTAAATAAGAGGGGAGTTCTCGAGACCTACCTGAACTCAAACTTCCCTCTTTCCCTGCAAACAGGAGGGAGCCCCGGGCTTGAGGATGTCATGAGCTCAGGGCTCTCTCCCGGGACAGCATCCCAAACTTGCTTTATAATCAATTATGAGCTAAGTGTAAACTCTTGAAATCATTAGAAGTGATTAAAATAATATTTAGCTTTTGACCCTTTTTTAATGAAGCTAACATTAGGCTTTTTCACACTTTCTAGAATTCTTTGTTTGTGTCAAGGATTTTTTTTTTTAAATATATATTTACTCCTGCCAAAACTCTTCTTCTAAAATGTCACCCCTTTAGAACCTGTGCAAAATATGTGCAAATAAGCAGCACATGCACACATAGAAAAATACACAGACTCACAAATCATCCTTAATGGACTACATTTTGTGAGTGAACTTATCAAGAATTCCTAAACAACGCTGTGTGCTGGGCTTAACACTCTCTGTGTTTTCATGTACATTATCATTTAAGAACTTGCAAAGAGCTTATAAAATGTGTATTGAGGTCAAAACAGCAGCAGGATTATCTCTGTCAAACACACAAATGAGGATCTGCTGCAAGGAGAACTGTATTAAACAGTAATGAGCAACATTGTGCATAAGATAAAAATAAAAACGGATATAATTGCTTATTCTGTTCTGTTTATGCATATTCTCCTGTTTTGTTTTTTGCTGTTGTTAAGATTTTTGTTGTACAGATATGTGTTGGGGGTCATACATCAGCCGAACAGCTCCAGATTTTATTTGGCAGCATTATAAATAAATAAAGCAACCAGTTTGGAAACAAATACCCAGGAGATGTGTGGCTTTTGACCTATTACATTTCTGTATTGATCCAGGACTAATTTCATATAATTTACTAATTTTGTTTATAAAATAATAAAATGTTTAGCGCGGTGCAATTATTTTACATTTCTTAAACATCTATAACTGTTTTTCATTTTGAGCATTATAAACTCTAGATGATGGAGGAGTTTATTCTTTCCAAAGAGACATGAACTGTGAATGTAGACCAAATTATTCAGCAACTCTTACTGTTTTAGTTTGGGATGGTAATTTTTGAGAAAGTGCCTCTGACAGTGAGGGAAAGAAGGACACCGATATAGTCTCAGAAAACTTTTTACACAAATCTCATTTTGCATGCTGTCTTAAGCAAATTTAAAATATAAACTCATGAGACACTTAGCTTTTAAGGTATATTTTTTAGGACATTACATTAATGTTTTCCTGTGTTGTATATGGAAAAACAAATATTGAACACAATAAATTTTTTTTCATGACTTCATAATGTATAACTTTTTATTCTTTTGAGCATGAAACTTCCTCTTTTACCACAGTAAAGCCCAAAAGTCTCTTCTTTCCAATGATACCTACACTCTAAAAGCTGCGGGGTTAATAACAACCCAATTTTAACAGCAAAACACTGCACTTTTGTAAATAATAAAAGTAACAGGATGTGCTTTCTACAGTCTAAGTCTCTATGAACTTGAGCATGAAACTCCAAAACTGTGTATGTTTGCCTTATAAAATAGGCAATGTGGGCAATTAAAGACTAGTTATTATTTAATCATTAATAAATGTGTAATTATTCAACTAATGCTGTAAATGAACATCACAAGTCAACCAGACAAATCTTTAGACAAAATACTTGACAAAATTAGACCAAGTAAAATATTACCACATACCTTCTAATTTGGGCATTAACTCTTCAAGATTCTATTCTTTTAGTTTGGTTTTCACAAATTCATCCATCTGAAATAAAATAACAGATAAAAGCACTCCAGCTAAGTTAACAATTTTTCATAAAAAAGAATATATATATAAATATATTCTTTTTATGAAAAATTGTTAAATACACACTGAATAACTTGCGTCTCAGACTCGCTTCCCTCTAAAGACTGGGCAGTTTCTCATGCTGATGTCCCTGGATGTTGACGTGACGTGCATGCTCTTTCACGTCCGCGTCTCCAACCCAGCACTGCTGGGTTATAGATCAAGACCAATTTTCAACCCAAATTGGGTTAAATCAACCCAACTTTGTTACCCAGCAGTCTAAACCCAGCATTTGGGTTAAAAAAAACAACCCAGCATTTTTTAGAGTGTAATATGTGTTTGTAGCTTACTGGGGTCAAGAACTGTCAATATTTAAAGTTAAGTAGGTGAAAATCCCTAAAAGTGAGTGCTGACTTGCATCAAAGCCAACCTGCCTATGAAACGCTCTAAATGTATAAACCTAAAAAAATATATAAAACTAGAGCAATAAAATAATTAAACCTAATGAATAAATGAAAATAAATTAATCCTGACTTAATTTAACCAATTTAAATAATCATTTGAGCCATTAATAACTAAATAAATAAAGGTTTTTATTAGCAAAGTTTTAAGAATGAGCCCCCTGATATGTGTCCATGATATTTTCTTTCAATCCCTCACTCTACTTCACTTTCGCTCTCTTCTCCAGGGCTCTCTGGAAACCTGTCATAGCTTCACCCATGCGTGTGGTTCTTCTTCCAGACCGCCTGCACTCTGAAGGGACATCAATATGTCTGGTCAGGTTGAGGCCAGAGACATTTGACTGGAGCTGTCAGGGACTGGAATACACAGTGAGGGACTGGTTTCACTTACACCGCTCAACCCCCAAATCCTTATCATGCTTATGGAAACCTTCAAAAAAAAAAGGAGCTTTCTCTAACACCCATTGATTTACCTACCCCAGATCTGCTTCAAAATGCAAACACAAGATGCAGAGGAATGCTGAATCTATATCTGATGAAGGTGGACGCAGCTGTCTGTGCCAAAGCTCCCTGGATTTCACAAAATCTCTGATCCAGTTGAAAGAGGCTCAGTGGTAACCTGGATGTCTGGTAATGCTATCAGTATGTGCAAGAACTACAAAAATATGCCTGTAGAAAACTGGATTGTTGACTATTTTCTGCTGGAATGTGAACATGTCCATCAAGACTATTGCATAATCAATTGTATTAGTGTTACATTTCCTGTAGAACCTCTTTTTTTCATTGGAGATGCACCTAAACCTCCATTTCAGACATCTGGCTATAGGATGTTTGGGTTGATTGTTTCTTTTTAGTTTCTTCTGTTAAGAGATTCTGTTTCTAAGAATGAAGAGATAAAATACGTCTGAACTAGTTCGACCGTGTGATAATGACAACAGCATTTACACTGAAATGATAAGCATCTTTGGCCACAGAGGCTGTATTTATGTTATGTAAATTACAAAGCTCTTTAAGCCTGGGAGAATCGCAGATGACAGATGTGAGGTTAAGGCAAACAGATGACATTCTCCATTGTTCTCTTAAAAAGAGACTCGGGTTAGGACTTGCCTGAGAGACCATTTAAAAAAAGAAAAACATCAAAAGATCAAGATTATAAAGTGAGAAAACTTGAAGGTGGTTGGAGACAATGAAACTGTACCCCAGCATTATTGAGTAGTGTGTCATTTTAAGTAATGATAGGAGCTTGGTATTTTATCATGGAGTGTTAAGTGTTGTGGCACCATGACTCAGTTTGATGGGGAAATGCATTGATGTGTAAGATTTTGATTTTAAAGCACAGAAATTAGGAAAATGTTTTGAAGCCACGTTCAAATTACACAATGTGCTTTTAGCCAAGGGCAGAACTGTTTGTGTTTTAAATCTGGATTGTACTGTACATTCCTTGAATGCCTTTTTCACATTTGCAGATGACGTATTAAAATATTATTTACATTTTGTGGCATACACTTATGGGATTTATAATTCATAGTTGCAGTATGTGTTTGAGTAAAACATGAGTTTGTTTTATTCTCTAAACAAAATTATGATAATCTTCTACATTTAAAATAAAAATAATGTCATTTTCTAAAGTGAAAAGGGTCAAAAAATATGCCATGTTTTAGACATTTTACCAACATTTTTAGACAATACACCAATGCTTTACTTAAAAAAAAAAAACACTCACCGGCCACTTTATTAGGTACACCTGTCTATTAACCCAACTGCTGGTTAATGCTAATTTCTAATCAGCCAATCACGTGGCAGCAAATCAATGCATGTAGACATGGTCAAGGCGATCTGCTACAGTTCAAACTGAGCATAAAAATGGGTAAGAATGGTGATTTAAGTGACTTTGATTGTTGTGTGGTTGTTAGTGCCAGACGGGCTTGTCTGAGTATTTCAGAAACTGCTGATCTACTGGGATTTTCATGCACAACCATCTCTATGGTTTAAAAAGAATGGTCCAAAAAAGAGAAAATTCGGATGATAGGGTCAGAATTTGGCATCAGCAACATGAAAGCATGGATCTATCCTTACTTCCATCAATGGTTCAGGCTGGTTGTGGAGGTGTAATGGTGTGGGGATATTTTCTTGGCACACTTTGAACCCATAACTACCAATTGAGCATTGTGTAAATGCCACAGCCTACCTGAGTATTGTTGCTGACCATGTCCATCTCTTTATGAACACAGTTCACCCATCTTCTGATGGCTACTTGCTGCAGAATAGCGCACCATGTCATAAAGCGCGAATCGTCTCAAACTGGTTTCTTGAACATGACAATGAGTTCACTGTACTCAAATGGCCTCCACAGTCATCAGAACTCAATCCAATAAAGCACCTTTGGGATCTGGTAGAATGAGAGATTCGCATCATGGTTGTGCAGCCGACAAGTCTACCAACATGTCAATATGGAGCAAAATCTCTGAGGAATATTTCCTGTACAAATGTAAACATATGTTTTGACTAATTCTGCAAAGAATGCTGTAAATGACAACAGTTTTATTTAAAATGTTTTCAATTAAAAAAATAATAACATTTTACTCAAAGACAAACCTAAAACATTTATTTCCAAATTTGAAATTTGCTAAGGCAGTCCCATAATTTGTTTCATAGCTATACATTTCTTTGGTTTCCAGACCTACAGGAGCTATAGACTGTTCTAATGGATTACAAACATTCCTAATTTGATTATTGATCTTGCCATTTTAAGTTATTAAGTGTATATTTGTATTTGCCATCACATCCAAATAATTTTGCTTCTGACATTTTACATTTAAATTATTTCTATTCTAACACAATATTGCTTGTGATCTTTATAGAAGGGTTTTTTTTTATTCCTTTTTATTTTTGTTTGTATGTGTGTGTGTGAAGGGGGAATTAGTTGAGAGACAAACAATACCCCAAACAAGCTGCAGCTGTAGCTGTTTTGTGCTTTTTTTATTTAAAATAAAGTATGCCTGCACAACTTTAATCAGAATTTTTTAAAGAGAATGGGTTTTCTTTCTCTGTAATCATTTGTTTTATATAGGTCATTCTTACAAGAAAATGGCTTTTGAGCTTTGGAACTTCATGAAAACCCCGTTTTTAAAAGCGTTCTTTTATCATGAGAAGTTTAAAAAGTGGTAAAGTTTTCCAGTCTTACAGCTCAGGTTCAATCACTTCAATTCTATTATTTATAGACTATTAAACTTCTATACCAATGGACCATCATGGAGAAGTTGCTTTGCATATCTGAAAATTTTGGTCAGCTATTGTAAGTTTGCTGTCAGTGTTGGCCTGCTATTTTCATGTACAGTTTAAGGCCATCATATTCAGTCTAAAGCAGGTCGCACACCAGAAGCGACGCTCGGCGGCGCGCCACGCAGCGCCATGTATTTTAGAATTCTAATCATAGGTTTCTATCAGGATACACACACCGGCGCCGCAAGTCGGCGGCTGTCGGCGGCGCCCGGCGACGGCTCAGGACGCAGTTCATTTTTCAGCCGCGCCACAGAGCGCCATCTGATTAGTTTCATGTTAATTATCATTCGAATGTGCGCGTCTGGTGTGCGATACTTTAATCTGTCATGTACGCGCCGTGTCGCGGCGCCGAGCGGCGCTTCTGGTGTGCGACCTGCTTAATACTGTATTCTGGACAGTTCTGAGAATGGCAGAATGTTTTGATTTATGATTAATGATTACATTTAATACTTCACAGAAATAATTTTAAGTCATCTTGACAGAAATCATCACATGTAGCCTAAACGTTTTTCCACTTTGGTCTACTGTTACCTCACCCGAAGACATTGTGTAGATGTTGTATTTATAAATATTTGCCAGGTTTTCATTCTCAGTGTTCCTGCCTGTAGGGCTTTCCATCCATTTCTATACTTTAATTCAATTTTGAATGTTGTAAATTGACATAATTACAGACGTGCCTGGAACTTCTAGGCCCACTTATCAGTAGCCTACCTTTATCTGAAAATAATTGGACGCCTTACTATGTTAATCAACTATTCAGAATCATTAAACATCATTTATTCTTTTCAAACAGCCTTTTAAGCTATACTTGTATGCATCAGTTATAAAATAAATAGATAAAATGTGCTATGGATTGCAAGGCGTCATTTGGAAGCCACAATAACGTCAGAGTCCTGCGAAACTACAATTCCCATAATGCGTTTCGCGAAGTATTAACAGCTGACGAATAAGTCCAGCTTCATGGCGAGTCTGGTCTGAATGGATAATATTGTGTTTGAGATGGAGTACAGGAGGAAACACTCAAGCCGGTCGAACAGGTATCACAACACAGCTGCCTGACACCCATATTTTACGCTAGCAACCACAATAACAGTAAGATAAAGCGTCAGTGCGTGAACCTCTCTCTGACGTTGCTACACGCGTTGTTCATGACCCACATCCAAATAACCAAAAATTTTTTTCTTTCGCCATATGAAAAGGTTATTCACCAAACAGTGAATTACGACATTTCACCGCTTTGATAATGAAAGAAAGTCAGTCATCATAAGAGCATAAATCAGCATTGCATTAGTTAAATCCCTTGTCTCCCTCCTCCTGTCCCAGTTTCAGAGCTGCTGCTGCGCGGTAATGACGCGTTATTATTATAATGAACTACAGACCGAGGTTTCCCTCCTGACACTACATGTGTTCCCATTACTGCACTGTGGAGAGATCACATTCTAACCGATCACCAGCCGAGATCTGACCTTTCAGTTGCAGATTCAATACACTTTTGCATTACAACATTTGTGATAACACGGCAACAACCTTTGATTGTCTTAGACGTTTAGATTATTAGATATTTAATTGTGCAAATAAACTAGAAGGCGTTAGAGCAGTATCAGTAGACTTTTTGCTTAATATCTGTATTTTTTGGTACCTTAACAGACTGACCCTTGCATGTTCAAATTCTACAAACCCTAACTGAACAGTCTTACTAAAATAGAGTTAGACGTGTATTTGCAAATGTAGGCTACTTGTAATATATAAAGAAATCAGATCTCTCTCAAAAACCTTCTCATTTGATTTTCACAGACCCAAATAAGAATGAAGAGCAAATTAAGACCACTTAAATGGTCATGTGTGTTCTTTTTTACATTATAAAAATTTCTGCGTAGAATTTAGAGTTTTATTCTATACTGTTGGTAAGATCAGCATTGTAGTCAGAGACCATTTTTGGACAGAATTCTTTAAAAAATGTTAAATTTTGTGTAAATGATGGGGGGGTGGGGGGGTACATAACTTTTCTCTGTTGATCCCCTTTGACAAAATGTAAACATTTTCATTTCAGAACACCCATAGTAGCCCTAAAAAGCCACCAAAAATATTTTTGGATTATTTGGTTGAATTTTAGTGTAAAAATGAAAAGTTCAGATGCAAAAACCTCTAATTACCATCTGAAATTTTCTCCTAAAATGAAACTTTTTCTCTGCCTCATATGTTTGTGTTCAGTTATTTCACTTTAAAGGCAATGAAAAGAACTTATTCATCACTATACAAGTAAAATGACCGAGCCTACACACAGAAGTTTGGAAAAATGGTAATTTTTGAAGAAAATATCAAATGGCTTTTAGAGGTTTTTGCATCTAAACTCTTTAAATGTATTTTTTTAAGTATCAGATCTTTTTACTTAATATGAGTTGGATTGTGAGAAAATGAGAACTATTTTCTTTTCAAGTACCTAAAATAGCTTGAGCTATGCTGGCAAAATTCCAAAAATTCTTTAGACAAATGAGATGTCAATCAGCATCAGGAACTGCCAGCAGCAAATAAAATTTTGGGGCGGCACCCAGGGTGGCCAATCAGATGTCAGGAATGTCCAGTTTCACCCTGGACACCCCTCTGGCTCCGCCATGGTTTACTACATCAATTCAGCCTGCAATAGAAAAAACACACCACACCTACTGTTTGCTCATTTAATATTCCGTTTCTCTAGAAACTGCGTCACAATTGGAAAAATTTACGATTGCAGCTTCCTGTTCATTGGGGACTTTTAATAGAGTTAGACATGTATTTGCAAATTTACTTGTAATACATAAAAATCTTTTTTTTATCTTTGAAAAAAATGTTTAGCAAGGTTTTTCTCTCTTTCCTAATATCTCACAGTAAAGAAATCAGATCTCTCTCTAAAACCTCCTCATTTGATTTTCACCCACCTGAAATG